CTTCGGGGGCGCGCGCGGTGGGGCCGATCCTGTTCCTCCGCAAAGGGGCGCCCGGGGGCCTCCTGGACAGCGTGTCTACCCCGCGGCGGAGTGAGGCGAGGGGTGCCGGCAGGGGCGCTGGGGCCGGGAGTGATTGGGGGCCGCGTCCTCGGCGCCTGACCCTCACGTTCTGGGTGTTCGACATGGTCAGTGTATTTATTTTACGCGGGAAGAAACTGAAGCACGGAGAAGCTAAAGCCCCACGGGAAGTACCAGCCAAGCTGGGATTAGAACCCTGACAGCTTGACTTCAGGGCCCTCGCACCTGGCCACTGTGCGGTTCCTGCTTTTTAAATATTGGCAACTAACCATTTAAAAAAACCCAAAAAGATCTAAGTTAATCCAATGATGTTTGCTGGTGGGATACACTAAGGGCTAGAAAGGTGAGGTTTACAAGAGCTATGGCGTAGGGTCTAAGGCATTTGACTGCTAACCGTAAGGTTGGAGGTTCAAACACACTCGCCATTCGGTGGACGGAAGACTGGGCAATCTACTTAGGTAAAAATGTACTGTCTTGGAAACCCAGTGGGGGTCGCTGTGAGTCGGAATCAACTCGATGGCAGTGAGTTTGGTTTTTGGTTTAGTGCATAGCAGAGTTGTGTAAATTTACTGTGAGTAGAACTATAGCATAGTGACCCTGTAGGATAGAGTGGAACTCCCCAAGGGTTTTCAGTGCTGTAAATCTTTACAGAAGCAGCTGACACATCTTTTTCCCAGGGAGCGGCTATGGGTTCGAACTGCCAAACTTTCAGTTAGCACCCAAGAGCTTTAACCACTGCAGCCACCAGGGCTCCCTTCTAAAGTTTCTAACAGAGAAACTTTGCTTTTCCAGTTTTTTTTTTTTTTTTTTTTTTTTTGAGAAAGAAAGAGTAAAAATACGGGGGGGTTCATGGAGGTCTGAGTTAGCTCTGAAGCCTGCCTCACCCTCCAGCCTCACAATCTGGCCATCTCAGAAAGCCGGGCTGCTATCCCCAGGATGGATATATCTCGTTCACCCCCAGAATCTGCTGTAATCTGGCCAGCCTTGGTGCTTGCAAGAAACCTGGTCTTCAAGGTGGCATTTACCTTCTCTGGCTGGCAGATGGGCTTCCTGTGACCAGGGCCTGTTTCTTGGACAAGTCTGATTCTGAAGTAGGTGTGAGACGGGGAGGTCACACTCCCACCCCTCTGACGTCTGTCCCTGTCAGAGTGCTTCTTCTGCTCCCTCCTCACTGAGTTACAAAGGCAGCCTCAGAGTGAGGGGAAGGAGAAGCAGGGAAGCATGGGGGCTTTGTGCTTGCTTCCATCTGGCAAGCTTTGAGGAGTCAGGAACCTGAGTGTTTTAGCAATGGCTGGCTCAGGAGATGGGGCTATAAACCTTTCTTGAGAGAGACAGTGTCTACTGATGCCCTAACTTCAGAAATGATTCTTTGGTAGAAATGAACCCAATTTCCCAGAGATTGAGGCAGCCACAAGGTCACCTCTACCTGTGGCGTGGAACTATTGAAACCTAGCAGAAGCTGGGCCATTTCCTCCCCCTGCCCTCCCACACACTGTGACACCTGCTGACCCTCCAGGGCCTGGGGCAGTGGCAATTGCTGGTCTAACTGGTTAAATGGGGGTTGGAAGGAGCATTGACAGAATGATGGCTCATTAGTCCCTGTGGGTTTTGACTTTTAAAGTCATTCCAGAGCAGGTTGGAAGCTGGGGTTTTCTTAATAGATAGTAGAGGGTAAAGTGTGTATATATCATTTCCTGCATCTTTCACATGCATTTTCTTGCTGTGCAGAGCCTCTTTTGAGAGGAGGGATCCGTTATTCTGCAGAAAGCGTGTTTTAGGAGTGGCATCGGGCAGAGCGCACAGTTGTGGAAGCCTGCCTCACAGACCCAGCATGGCAGGGGTCTGTGGTATGGTTTCATGCCCCTGGGAAAGGAGGTTCCCTGCAGCCTCCAGCTGAGCCTCGGGAGAGGTGGGCTGCACCTCCCTTTTTCTGGCACAATTGACAGATGAAAAGCTGGTTATAAACCAGAGCTAAACTAGAGGGTGATTAGATATTTTACGATAAGATGTTTAGCTTTTTGAAGGGCTTTACCATAAAATTAATTCCTTTGGTTGTCTTAAATTGTATTGGAAATGAAACGAGTTTTTATTAGTCTGCATAGCTTTTCAGGACACTGCTGGGTAAATCAGGTTGTGACTTCCATGCCCCCATTTCTGGGTGACTTCCTGTTCATGGAGGCCCTGGGTGGTACAGATGGTTAAGCGTTGGCCTTCCAACTGAAAGGTTGGTGGTTCAAATCTGCCCGGAGGAGCTCAGAAGAAAGGCCTGATTATCTTCTTGCAAAAGATCACGGCCGTTGAAAACCCTATGAGGCACAGTTCTACTCTGAAACATGTGGGGTGGTGATGAGTCGGAAATGACTCCAAGGAAGTTGATTTCTACTATGTCCAGTCCCTTTCCTGTTATGGTGCTGTCTTATTGTCATGTCTACTTGTGTGTGGACAAATCTTGAGGATGGAGGGGGCTGTCTTCCACTTAGAGGGGTCCAGTCCTCTGCTTAGACTCACACAGAGGGTAAAGCTGAAACAAGGTCAGTGTGATTCCAGAGATTACGTCCCCCTTCCTTGGCTTGATGTGAACTCACGTGCCTTGTCACACAAAAACAGACATGAGGCCTGGGACTTTCTGGACTCTGCCAGGCCTGAGTGTCTGGGGATTGCCTGAACCAGCTGAAAGGCCACTGATGCAAGTGAGGTTAGACTTGCCTTACTTGTGATGAAATGTGGACATGTGGTCAGGCCGCTGCTTAATCTGATCATAAATCAGAAGTTAATCAGAGGGCAAGGGAGACCTTTAATCTCTCTGCTGCTTTGTTTGCTTTTTGAGTAAATGCTGCTTGCTTTCCCTGTGACATAGAACTCCCATCCAGCTGGATGTTGTCAGGCCCGTGGTGGGCTTGTTCTCTACAGAAAGTGGGGACCCCTCCTCAGAGCTCTAGGAGGAGTCACATTTGGGTGAAAACTCTTCCATCCATTAAAACTCTCCCTTTGGACTTCTTCCTTTGAGGCCGGCCAAGATGCCTGTGATGGTGGAAGACGTCATGAAGCTGCTGTGCTCCATCTCTGAGGAGAGGAAGATGAAGGCGGCTGTCAAGCAGTCGGGGAGGGGCGCCCTGGTTACGGGGGCTGTGGCCTTCGTTGGTGGTTTGGTCGGCGGCCCACCAGGACTAGCCGTTGGTAAGTGCCTTGTGAGGACAGCTAGACTCCTGGGTGTTATAAAGAGGCCTCTAGAACCGTTGCGAGGAATGACCTCGTAAGAGTGGTACCACCCACCCTGTGTGTAGAACTGGTCCAGTGAAGGTTACTTCTGTGACCTTTGTGTGTATATATTTCATCCTGTGAAAAATGCTGGCTTCCTTGTGGATGTGTCCGACTTGCAGAGTGCTCTTGAAAATAGGATCTGTGTCTTTCAGGCCTGGAGGACACCTGTCCCCTAGTGCTAGGACCCCAGAATGAAATTTTCAGGGTGACTGGCTCAGCCCTTCCCCCAGGGATGTGCCCTAGAGTTGGAAGATATCAGGGTCCCCTGTGGTCATTCATTGCCATGTCACTTCCGAAGGGAACCAGGGAGGAAGCTGGAATTTTTGGAGCCCTTACTACGTGCAGAGGCTGGATGGCCATATCACGCAAGACAACTCCTTCAGAGAGCACGCTCCGAGAGAACAGCCAACCAACAGAAAACTGCCTTTTACCCTGAAGTGGTTATCCCCGCCCCCTTGTTTCACCACCTGCTTCTGTTTGGGAACTGATTTCTGGCAGTGGAAGAAGGTTTTGGCTAATTTTCCAAGGAGGAGTGTAGTTCGATTCTCAGAAAGGCGTTGTTCCTTTGGGCTAGGATTACATTGCTCTCAGGCTGGGATGGAGTCAGGGAGCTGGTTCAGCGGCCATTCAGAGTAGGGGTGGGACAGATAAGGCCTCTTGTGGGCCCCGCATTGCGGTTTCCCAGGTGTTCTCATGATGGCTGGCTCTGCTGTTGGCACGGCCTGCCACACTGGGCTCTGCCAGGTCTTTGCTGGGGATCCGGGTGCCTCGGAAAGCTCTCTGTCTGTGGAAATCCTTTCCCTGGCCGGCAACCCCACGTGAATAAGGGCTGGAGAGAGAACGCTCTCTGCTGCCACTGAGGCTGGCTGCTGTTTCCGGCTCACTGGCAAGGCTGCTGCACTGTGCTTTCCCCTTTGGTAGCAAGATTGACACCGAAGGACACTTCATTAAGGTCCGGCCAGACCGGAGAGAAAAATCAGCATGTGGGTGGGCCCAGAACTTCCTCCTGCATGTTCCCCTTTCCAAACTGTGAGTTAGTTAAGTCATGACTTCAGCTTCCTGCCAGCCAGGAAGTAGCAAGTCGGGGATGAGAAAAGGCCCTTCATCTTCCTCAAGGACAATCTCTATCTTTGTTCCCACCCCCATCTATCGCGCTCCAGGGAGGGCTTGCTGGGGTAATTTGATCCTATGACTGCCCAGATGCCATTCTGGGAGCACATACTTTATTCAGGTTGAGTAAAAGCTGTAGCAAACAGGATGTCTGTGCATGGAATCTGGGGGGTTTGCCACTTCCAGCCCCTGGTCACGGGTGGGAGCAGCATCCTACCCAGAAAACAAAGTAATTTTCTCTTCTCCAAAGAGCTGGTAATTCGCTGGTCGATATTCCTGGCGACTTTTTTGCATTAAGTGCTCCTCTAAATCAAATATTGATGTTCTCATAAAGGTTTAGTACAGATGAGTGCAACTCTTGTCGGCTCCAAGCATTTTCATTGGTGTCACGGGGGAAAGTTCAGGAAAACTTGTAAAAGAGCTGGTTTTCCCTCTGCAGAGTGTTCTTTGGGCTGGAGCGGAGGTGAGCCCTGTCCAGGTGGAGTCTGGCCCCAGGCTCCGGTGCCAGAGTGGCGTGGACGTCCAGGAGCCTCCGCGTTGCCTTCCCGAATCCAGCCCGCAGAGGGGTGCTCTTGGGCCTGGGCTGCGTTTTTCATTTTTCTGCAACAATAATAGATTCAGAGGCTAGTACAGAGAATTCCCATGTATCTCTCATCAAGTTTCAGTTCCCCTGCCATGAACATCTGCTGATTTGTCAAAGCTGAGAACCCAGCCTTGATACATGATCAGCAGTGATCCTCCAGACTTCATTTGGGTTTCACCAGTTTTTGCATTAATGGCCCATTTTTGGTTCTGGGGTTCAGTGCCAGACACCACATTGCATTTAATTACCGTCTCTCCTTAGTATTCTCTGGTCTGTAAAGAGTTGGTGAGATTTTCCTTGTTTTTCATGACCTTGAAGTTTTTAAAGAGTCAATTGTTTCATAGAATGTCCCTCCATTTGAGTTTGTCTGATGTTCATAATTAGACTGGGGTCATGGGAGCAGTGGTGGTTCCATGGTAGAATTCTCGCCTTCCGTGTAGGAGATGGTTCAACTTGCAGCCAGAGTTACTCACGTGCAGCCACTGCCCACCTGTCAGCGGGAGCTTGCATGTTTTGATGCTGAGCAAGTTTCAGTAGAGCTTCAGACTAAGGGGGGCTGGAAGAAGGGCCCGGTGATCTATGTCTGGAAATCAGCCAGTGAAGGCCCGACGGATCCCAGTGGTCTGATTGCAGCCCATCGTGGGCACGGCACAGGACCAGGCAGCATGCGTTTCATTATGAATGGGGTCACCATGACTCAGGGCTGACTCAGCAGGAGCCGACAACAGAATTTTGGGGAAGAATACCAGGAAAGTGAAGGGCTCTTTCTCTGACATTGTTTCAGGAGGCACATGCATTCACATGACCTCACTGGTGAGCTTACCCTTGACCCCTTAAGGTTATGTTTGCCAGGCTTTCCTTTCTGCCCTTTGGAAGTGAGTCAAGTCCAGCTGGGCTGCATCTTTTAAATATCTAATTGTCAATATTTAAAAATCATGATATTTTTTAAAGCTAAAAATCTGGTTTCTCAACTCTTCCGTGTGGCAGCAGGAAGGGCAGGAACTAGCAGCTGCCCCTCTAGACAGGGCCCCAGCTCTTCAGGCCACCACACGTTCATTCAGCCCGCTGTCTCCTTGCCATCACCTGCCTGGCCCCTGATGGCACTTGAGTTTAAGCTACCCTAGAGCTCCTTCCCTCCACTGTACACCTGTCCCATACCCTGTGGGATCTGGCCTGGCCAGGTAGGACTTTTCATAAATGGAGGATCCTTGAGTCCCAGAGTACCATGCCTTAACATCAAGAGTAAATTTAAATTGGAAAAAAAAAAAAAAAATATGTGCCCTTTTGTGGGTAGCAGAAAGAAAAAGAGTTGAATGGATTAAATGTAATATTGTCATCCAGCTTTGGAGCAATTGCATGAAAAACATTGCTGCAGGAGAAAAGACTCTGTTGTATGTTCCCAAGGGCCTTTAGCCGTGAGCATGAACTGGAAATCTCCAGTTCAGGGGAAGGGTGTATGAGCCCCCCGGGGAGAAACCCTGCCTGGCCCCTGCAGCAGTCCTCACGAAGGCCGTGCTCTCCCTTGAGATGAGAGAGACATTTTGGGCTGAGTGTGAGAACCGTTTTAGCCCTTGAGGAGGAGTGTAACTGGCACAGCTCTGAAGTGTGAAGGTAATTCACTTTGCATCTGTAAGCCCAAAGCTTCGGGAAGGGCACGTGTGAGTGTCAATTAACTGAGCTGAATGGACCAATGACTGCATAAACCTTTGTCCTCCGGTGCAGGCAAGAAGCCAAGGCCGTTCTGACCCACTCACAAATGCGCCCACTAGTCATACCAGTGGACGGAGGTCCTCTCAGCAAGAACCTAGGGCTGTCATTTATGAATGAGGCCCAACTAATTGAACCCTTGCTTGTTTTTCAGGGGGGGCCGTCGGGGGTCTGTTAGGTGCCTGGATGACGAGTGGACAATATAAGCCAATTCCTCAGATCTTAATGGAGCTGCCCCCCGCTGAGCAGCAGAAGCTCTTTAATGAAGCCACTGCCATTTTCAGGCACCTGGAGTGGACGGATGCCGTGCAGCTGACCGCGCTGGTCATGGGCAGCCAGGCCCTGCAGCAGCAGCTGCTGGCGATGCTGGTGAACTATGTCACCAAGGAGCTGCAGGCGGAGGTCCGGTACGATGACTAGGCCGTGCCTCCTGGGAAGTGGAGCTCACTTAACACGGTAACTCACGTGCTGGAGGAGGAGGCTGGAGGGTTGGAGTGTCTTCTTCTACTGGAGTGAAATTTCCAGTTGGAGTGACTACTGTCATGCTGTCTCATGTTCTGGAAGTGGCTTTTGAAGAAGCAGTATTTTTGTGCTCTTAGGCACCAGCGTGCACCCATAGTCCTTTGACTGTGAAGCTGGCAAGCAGCAGAGGTTGGCCTCCTGCAGACTCGGGAGGTTTTCTGAACGTTCTCCTGTTCATGCAGGTTTGGAGGCAGGCCATGGTGTTCCGGTGACTCTCCGACTCTCCTTCGGGCCTTCTCACCTTGTAAGATGACTCTTGTTCCAAGCACCTGGTGCAGGGGCCTGGGGTCTTGGGGCTGGGAAAGCCCATGCTGGAATCATGCTTACCTCTTGAGTGCACTCCTTCCACCCAGTGACTTCTGAGTGGCGGTGGGGGTGGGGATGGGGTGGGATGGGGGCCCTGATGAGGGACGTCACCAAGAGCAGATGCACCTGGCCCATTCTCCCACCAGCTGCACACCTGGACTCTCTCCTCCCGGGGTCTTGTTTTTCCCGTGTGAAAAATCATGGTATTCTTGAATTATGCCTTTTAAATGAAATATGTTCGGTATAAAGTACTGTTTTCTCTGAAGTCTAAGGAATGTTTCCACCTTAAAGTCTCTCCTAATACTGTATTCACTTTGCTTACAGAACAACCGCTTGACTTAAGTGTCATGAATTGCAATTTTTTTTTTTTTCTGAATGATCTTTTCCCCACATATTCGGTGTAAGGCACCTGTAACCTCCAGAAGCCTTCCACACAGAACAAAAGGGAGGTACTAGATTTGGTGGCTTTAAAGAGTTAATGTCTGCTTCCCCCAGCTCCAGTGTCTGAGACCAGTCTTCGCAGGCTGCCCTTGGCCTCCCTGTGCCCACCTGCCCTCTTCTAGCCACTTCAGAGCAACCACAGAACCTCCTGCAGGTCCCCAGGCCGGGACTTGAGGCTCTCCCCTTGACGGGAGCAGCCTAGGCTTCCCTTGGGGCAGGGAAGGAGGGAGGGAGGTGCTTCTGCTCAGGGGCTTAGTGCGGAGCCCAGCATCTCCACTTCTGTGAAGAAAGCTAAAAGCTGCTTTAGAACCCACTGTGGTTCAGGAAGGAAATGATCAGATTGCAGGATTGAGTGTCTCAGAGAAATTGCTCTCCAGCTGGCCTGGTGTAGTAAGTACAAAGGTATGTCATACCCCCTGGAGGCATTTGTGTGATCTGCAGGGTGGGGATTGGGAGAGGGGTGGGGCCTGTCTTACGGAATTGATCATTTCGGCTCTTCCTTCCAATTAAGCCCCTCTTACAGTCCCACCAGCTAAAATCCACAGGGCCTGCCTCCTCCCACAGTGGTAGGACTTCAGTGCACTTAAAACTGCCCTCTTTTTATTGTAAAGGTGAAAAGACTCATGAGAAGGAAACAAAGATTGTTGGTTTAGTGCTTCAGATACTCTTTCCATTTTGAAAAAACCAAACCCACTACCATCAAGTTGATTCCAACTCATACCGACTCCCATTGGGTCTCCAAGGCGGTAAATCTTTACAGGAGTAGATTGCCTAGTCTTTCTTCCACAAAGTGACTGATGAGTTTGAACCACCAATCCTCTGGGTAGCAGTCAGATGCCTTAAGCACTGCATGCACCACCAGAGCTCCTTTTAACTGTTCTGCCTGGGAAAATGAAGGCTGGGAGCTCTGGTAGCGTAGTGCTTAAGGTACTTGACTGCTAACCAGAAGGCTGAAGGTTCAAACCCACCAGCCACTCCTCGGAAGGAAGATGGGGCAATCTACTTCCATAGTGATACCGCCTCAGAAACCCAAGGAGGGGTCACCATGAGTCGGTCCGACTCCACGGCACACAACAGTAACAGTGGTGTTGCCTGGTCAGGTGATTGAGCCCCACCTGTTTCTTTCTCCTGCACTCAGGTGTCCCAGCCCTCGGAGGTCCTGCCATGAAGCCTGCTTGCCTTTACCTGGGGAAAACCACCCAGGAGATGGTTCACCTCCTGACCACTTTAGCAAAGACACCCTCTACCACCTGGGCTTTGGGGGGATGCACCACAGGCTTTGGACCCAGGGGGGCAGCCGAGTCCTAGATTCTCATCTCTCCAAGGAGCAAAGAGTACTTTCCTGCAGGGTTCCTTCTCAGTCCCTCCTCTCAGCCCCTGCGGTTTTATTTATATTTTTGTACCTTTTTAATATTTTCATTTATTTATTTCTGAACAGTTCTTTCAAAAAACATAAACGGTACAAAGGGGTACCAGAGGGTGTAAACTGAAAAGGGAAGTTTCCCTCCAACGCTGCCCCATGCCCCGCCCTTCTCCTCAGAGGCCACCACTGTCACCAGTTTCTTGTGCATTCTTTCAACTCTATTTTGAATGGTGATTTCCTTTTATTTACAGTGCTTATTGCTAAAACCGTAGAAAAGTCCAGAAGAGTATAATAAAAATCACTACAAATGCCACCACTCGGATAACCACTGTTAGCAGATTTGGTATATTCCCTGCAAACCTCTGCAATTTTTTATGTAATTTAAAATCCTTTGTAAGCATTTGTGAGGGCTATATAATATCCCCTTGTATTTAACTGTATGGCTCCTGTTGTTTCCTTTTGCAGGCTTTTACTGTTATAATGTTGCAGTGGACATCTCTGTGTTAATATCCTGTTCATATTCTGGATTATTATTTAGGAGAGGTTCTTCAAAATGAAATTGCTGGATTAAAGAATATGTAACAGACTGAATTATATGTGTAAAAATTGTTGAATTAGCAAATGTTTGTTATGTATATTCTTACTACCATTTAAAACATGGGGGGAGAAAAGCATGTAACATATTTTAGAGCTGTTGTATATTTGGTCAAAATATTTTCCAGAGAGGCCGTAGTATTAATTACTATCCCATGTAAACAGAGTTTGGGATACACAGTTAATTGCATCCTCACCAGGAAACAAACTGATAGTCTCTTAAACCTTTGTTCGTTTATTGGGTGACAACCCATCTTGATTTGATGGTGACTTGTGAGGTAGTAGGAGCTCTGCTAGCCTAGTGCCTAAGGCATTTGACTGCTAACCAAAAGACTGGCGGTTCAAGTCACTCCTCAGAAGGAAGATTGGGCTGTCTACTTCCTTAGTGATACTGCCTCAGAAACCCAAGGAGGGGTCTCTATGAGTCGGATCCGACTTGACAGCAATGAATTTGTTTTTTTTTCTTGGTTTGTGAGGTAGTACATGCTTTTACGTGTTCATCAGCCTGTGGCTGGCTTGGCTTTTCCTCCTGTTACCTATGAGATTAGACTAGGAGTGACCTCCTGGTGGGGCACTTGTCCACTTAGTGGTGAGAGAGCTCCTGGTGGCCTGGTGCCCTGAGCATGACCTCCGTTTTCCGCGTCGTTGAGGCCCGATGCCCAGGCCTGAGCCAGGGCTGGCTGCAGGCAGCTGCCTCACCTCCTGTGGCTGGGCTGGGTGGTCCTGGTGGTGGGGACGGCAGTTCCAGCTGTGTGGCTCCCCTCCCCGCATCACCTGGGAAACGGCAGTGGGCTGCCAGCAGGGTGAGGAGGCAGCTGAGGAGGAAGCCTTGGTGGGGGGAACCCAGTAATTATAAAAGGAAACCATCTGCTCTGGGGCTGGTTATTAACCTGCTTTGGGTGTTGACGTGACAGCGCTAAGCAAGATTTTTCACAGGCAGATGGTGTATTTTTAGCTAAAATTAACTTTTTTATTTTTCTATGTTTTGAGATGTCTGGCTTGGAAGTAAACATGACTGGGGTGTGTTATAATACGGGAGGCTGGGGAGGACACTGGTTTAGGGTTTGGAAAGAAAAAAAAAAAAAAATCCTCTCCCCATTAGTTATTGAGAGGCGCCATCTAGTGGGCAAGCCGGGCGCAGCCTTCTCACTTCTTCCCGTTTCCTTCCTTCCGAGCATCACAAGTGCCTTCCTGGTTATCGGTCACTGGACAGGCCAAGCTGGGGATGTGACTAGAACTGGAGACTGTTTTATGTGTTCCCCATGGGGAGGGAGCTGAGGCTTTCCTGAGGTTTGAATAAGCCATGAACAGAACGTCGGCCATAGCTCCTGCAACCTTTTTGCATATAAAACAGAATGTCCCTCAATCCTGAACAGTCAACATATGGCAATTAGGAAATGCCAGGATTCATCTAAACCGCATAGGGAAAGGGAAATGTCTCATGTGTTTTCAGTTCTTTTGGAAGAGATAAATAGCTTTATTAGCTAGGAGGCTTCTTGGACCATTATGATAATGGCAAGTCAAGAGGGTGAACTCAAGCCTGACCAGATGGATCACCACCTAATCCCAGATCCTGGCAAATGGAAGCCAAAGGGTTTGGTTGGTTGTTGTTGATTT